ATAAGCAGATACAAGAATCATTACCATCTGAGACAAGATACCATCAATAATAAGAGATACCCTCCGTAGGTTCTTGAGTAAGTAACTTATTTTAATTTATTAACATAATTGGTAGAGTAGTATTTATCTTCTTATAAAATATGGGCCTATTTGACTTTATAGTGCTGGCAAAAGAGTTGAGAATTTATAAAATGTAGAATAAACTATATGGTGTTATTTTTCACTTAAAAGCTTTGCTTCTACTCGTATTTCCGAATAACAAAAAAGAGTATCACTAATTAACAGAAGTAATTGGTGCATGTTTTCAGTAATTTCAGCCTCTCATTTTAGCAAAAGAACTTGAACAGACTAATCTTCACGCCCGTATTCACAAACGATGCTTGCTTAAGTGAATCAGCAAATCGAATGCACAGCGATGAATAGAGCTCTGTGATTGGTTCGTGTGTCATCCTGTACGCGCACTGTGAGACCTCAAAGTAATGTTTGTGAATACAGGCGTCAATTTCATAGGTATTTACACTAATTTGTCAATAATGTTTTTTTCAGATACAGCGCCTTATGATAAACTTTTTTGCCTAACTTTTTCGTCTCCAACTTCGCAGGCCTGCAGCGTCGCGTGGCCCTACGAATGAGTGCAACAGTCAAAGGTAGTGCATTGACCTCGGTTAGGGCAGCGTCACGGATTGATAAGGCAGGTTAAATCGACCGTACCTACCCACACAATGTCTCCCATTGGTGCCGGCCATTCAGTCCGCTAATGCCCCCTTTAATTGGTTGAGTGATTTATCTGAAAGTGATCGTTTATTCAATTTAAATGCGAACTCCATTGATGCGAGTGTATCCGTTTAATAAATGGTTATAGTGGTTGTTTGTTATTTTTGTAGAGTATTCGCCGTTATTTTGTGATGTAGAGTCGATGTCGATGATGAAAAGTCGCCGCCAGTTATTAGAACTAGGTAATTAACCGCTCTATGCTTATTTACCTTGATGCCACCATGTCCAAAAAACCCTAATCGACGAATCTTTTGCAAGAAAACAAACTATTAAAATCTGAACCAGGACCAATCTGAATGAACCAATCTGAGCCATGCGAGGTAATTATTCTAAATGCCTCATCAAAACATAAGCCGGCACAAAACCTTTCACATCATGTCGGCCCGGAAGACGCAGGACAATGAACGAATAAAACGTTTTTAAGTTAAGTGTTATGACGGGACCCAACTTAGCTACCGATTATAAGTACACAATAAATTATACTTGACATAACACAGATATGCCACGCAGCAGGAACTAAGTTCGCCGTCGGTGTTTTTTTAAAATCTATTGAAGACTCTACATTATATTCTCAGATCTTAAATTCCTTCAAATTCATACTTAATTGACATAGCACCTGCAAGATTGCAGATCCAGATGCAAGGCATAATTACAGTAAACAAAGTTCGAGAAAATAAACCACTGCAATGGCTGCCAGGTGGAACGATTCAAACCAATTGCAGATATCTTCGAAAATATCCTCGATAATGTTATTGGGTATTTAAAATCCAACGACGATGCGCACCAACAAATTACCTCGCAAAAAGTCAGCCGACTCATTAGTTGATAAATCGATTGTAAAAAAGTCTCCATCATCACATGCGCGGGCGCACTGAATCGGCGGAAGTCGCCGGGACGACGCGATATTTCGAGAGGCGTGCCGGGCATGCGACTTGTAAGTGTAAGGTATAAATAAATCTATCTGGAGACACGTACCGCGTACCGGCCGCATACCGCACCTTCGTAGTCTTAGAAACTAGGTATGGATAGTCAATCATATAAATTAGATTTTATTAACATTATGAATATCAACTCAGCAGCTCGGTAAGTATGAATTATGATTTACTCTGTGTCCTGCTACGTCAACAAAAATGCGACACGTCATTCCCTACTTTTTGACCTATACGATAGTCTTACACACGTTAGTTAGGTACTCAGATCATAGACTATGATCTGAGGTTAGGTACAAGTAGGTATATCACGTAGCACCGTGTCGCATAGCGTAGCGTTTGTCGATGATGTGGGTTACTACCACCGCAATAGGATCAATTCATCATGATGGTATCCATAGATCCCCAGGGTCGCTCGAAATGACAAGCTATCGTTCTCTACCCTGGATAACAATAAAGCTACGTTTTTCTTTTTGTCTGAAAAGCTGGCCACATTACAGCAACTCTTTAATTATCTACGTCTGTTTCTCAAAAGAACGATGAATCAACAAAATTATTTCTGCACGCAATCTTCTGTTCTAACACAACATTTGCTAGCTTTAATACCTATTTGATTTTATGTTCATATCTCAAGTAATTTCGTGTTCAAATATTTATTTATCTAGGCAGAAACATCAGCTCCCACTCGTTAAGCTCAAGGACTCAACAAGTAGAGTCGTTGACTACGTTTGTTAAGTGGTACAAAAAGTTACCCTTTATGTACACGTGTAAAGCAGCTTGATTTAACTGACAAGATTGTTAGTTTAACCACAGTTTAACTTAAATTATTTTTAATGAAGAATTGCCAAGTTTTCGACTGAGCGAAAATTTTATTCATGGAAAATATTAATAATATTAACGTTAAACTTCTCATTAAACCCAAATGGGACTAAACTTCATCTTCTGCCTTTAGGAGAGCTGTATGTAATAATGTGTGATCAATATTTTATCTATCTAACTAGATAATGGTTGTTCTTAAGTGCATTGCAAATAAAAATTCATATTTCTTGTAAGTACTTCTCAAGGAGAAATTGTGAACGTGAGACCAAATACCTACTTGAGCAAAACGACTACAACAATATGGGGATTTGCATAGATAATCTTGCCACTAATGCCACTAATCACTACCTACTTAGGAACAGAATGCATTTGACACTGGCGGGCTGACAAAGCAGTGAAATAATATAAACTAAACTTAGACAGGTATCTCATTTGCATTTATCCTTGGTCAGAAGTAGAAAGGATATCCGTTTGAACTCTATACGGTCCTAAATATCTACCCACGTCGACTTGAAATAGCTAGGTAGTCCTGTCATGTATTGGTCAAATAATATTCCTGGCAGAGATTTTGTAGAGCTAATATATTCATCTCGTTTGGTCCACATAAAGTTCCATGTTTCTGGACATGCTTTATTAATACAATTCCAAAATCGGCTCAGTTATCCTTATGGAACAAACTGAACTGACAAATTGCTATCTGCATTTGGGATTTTATGGAATGACATGGCATTATGAGATATTTTCAGCAATAAAACTAACTATAGACTTACGATATTAAGAGATTGGATTGGAGAAATAGAAAAAACTTGCATTGGTCGTTGATGATGTTTTCCACCTACTTGCATAGATCTGTATGCTTGCATCATTTTGTGTAAACTTTCACCGATACATATTCATCATTGACTATTCTTAAATCATTCCATGTGCATAATTGTAAACTCATTACTTGTTACCTTAACATACAAATATAATTAGTTTTCTAGTTGTCCCTACAGTCAATTTAAAAGTATCCTGGCTCAAAGCTCTATCAATGTTTAATGTACCAATAAATTAGTAATCGAAACACTCATACTGAATCATCGGACCATAGTTTCGAATAGTCGAAGAGTAAATAAAAAATGGAATAGAAATTTCCGGTCCCAATTCACGTTCCGTTTTCAAGGACGCACCCAGCCCGCACCCTGCTTCCGCTCTACCAGTTAGGGTAAAGTAGGTAGGAAGATATTGTTACTGGGCAAAAACATAGCCAGATGCTCCTGCTAACAAAGAAGATCCTCGTAACTAACTAGTCAACAGGTGAATGCGATATCACGACCAATTTAATGGCCAATTACGTTGTAAACTGTTTAATAACACGAGGTCAGAGACAAAGTTCACTGAATGTCTTCCCGGTTCGCGGATAGATACGATACACTATGATCAAGTTGTCGCATTAACACTTCACTTTCCCTACAACCCAGAATTTAAGGCATTTACTCATCTGCCGGCAAACCGCTCGTAATTACAGAGCAGCGGGGGTGGTTATCCGGGCTGTGTAATGTTAAGGAGAAACTGCGGAGCCCAATGATAGATCGTCGATCAAGGATCACTTTCACGAAAATTGAACGAAAGTGTGCCGTGTGAAATGGGATTTTTTCGAAAATATGCAGTGTGCAGATTTCCGACGAAGGCCAACCACCGCGGTGCGCGCGCTTTTCATCATTCAACCATATGCTAGTTTACAAGTATTGCCATCGAGCATGCCGCGTTCCAGGCGACTCGTTTGTCCACTTCGGTGATCGAATACGAAACTAGCTGTCTTACTTATGTATGAACTAGCCGTGTAAATTGTAGAGTCCTATCCCAATGCTTTGTAATTTACATCTCGTCTAATAAGGTCACATAATTCCTGTTAACTATAAATGCGTAATCTCTATGGAAATACTATCCCAATAATTATTTAAAAAATGAAAACAATACTTTTCCATCATTTTAGTTAAAGCAGGAGGAGGTCCTAAAATTGTTCCCTGGGTTACACCAAAGAAAAAATCATGAAAAATGTTATTTTTTTATATTTTTCAGAATTTTCACTAACGTATTAAATGAGTATATAAGTATTAAATGATGAGTTCCTTGAATTGAAACTAAAATAATATAGAAGTAGAGAAGTAAACGACAGTCTTCTTAGAACGGAAGTTGATGTTACGTTCATAATGCCTTCCTCCGACCCTTCCGTAATGAGGATGTTCCCACAGCACAGATTATTAGAGTGATGTTCATTTAATGCTACTATGCACGACTCATACTTACAAGATCATAATAAAGCCACCTGCAATTTTACTGCGGGCGGGCAATGCATGCGCATTTGATATCTCACACTCACGCGCAGCCCGATAGCGAACGCAGTTCACTTCGAAATAAAATAAAATGAACGTAACGTAATAATGAAATGACTTGCGAGACGAGACGGGAAGGATAGGGGGCGCGGTGGTGCGGCTGCCCCTCTACCCGCGCGCACACCCGCAGTCAAGCGAGAGGCGACAGCTAACCAGCTGCGCGTCTTGTGTTTTTCTGATTTTGCGGTGCGGTTGACGTTTCTTTCTTATTTTTTGTGATATTTACAAAAATAGACTGAACTGTGTACTTACGCGTGTGAATATTTTCGGTGTTTACAAATATTAACAGTCCGTTGCTAGCGTGGACGTTTCCAAACAGTGCCGTTGAACTGTGCTTTCCATGGATCCCAGTGCCTTTTGTCTGTAAAACAGTGGATTAGACGAGATTGGTGTTGTTCTGTTGCTCAGCGTTCCTGTAAGTTTGCTTGTGGACCCAGCAGTGTGAACAGTGATTGTTGTCGTGGCCGGTTTCCGTGGAGGAAACTTTCGAAACGTGAATAAAATAGTGGGTAATGCTTTCGTAGCGAATGCGGGCCTTGCCTGCACGCATTCCATAGGGAAGCAAGGTGCCTCCAATAAGCATTTTACGGTAAGTTCAGTGCACAAGTTCGTCGCACTTTTACAAAAACACTCCATTCAAAGATCATCTTGTGATGTGACCTACGACATTAACAGTACCTTCATGTGATCCTGCTTATTCAAAACAACTTTTCTTTGAAACCTAAGACTATTTCTTAACAGGAAGGCAAGCACACAGGGCTATAACACAAATTATTTAATAAAATATTGTTCAACAGACACCAGACAGCAAAGTAAATTGATCTGAATTACACACGTTATTCATTAATCAACGTTAAATCTCCTTGACCTAATTTTCGATGAAATCTAATTATTAATTTCATTCATTTAAATTGATCCACATTTTTCAACTTTTTTGAGTAAATTATTAAAGCATTGATTTAGAAAAAGCAAGTGAAGCCACAATTTTACCCTTGGGTTCAACTTCAGCAGTGTAAAATCTTCAAAATTTTACTTTCATAAGTCAGAATAAGATTTTCTTAAAATGTTTATTTTAGCATTATGCAATTTAGATATTTCTATAACCAAAACATAAGATTGTTATGTTGCATATACGATATAAGAGTTATCACTAATTCAGTCAACAAATCACCATCAACCATAATCGATCCATAAATCAACCATAATATCAAATCATAATATTTTATCACAAAGTTCTACAATCTGTAATTACTAACTAATAATTATGTAAATTATTTATTCACCATACAGCACAACCTGATCGTGAGTGTCTAACGTGACTACGACCTTTGAGTTGTGATTGATAAAATGCAAATTAAATGCATTAAAATCAAACCTGTGCTTAGGTTTATTATAAGTAATTATTTCTTATCGAGTTCAGACAAAATAATATACTGATTAATTAACATAATTGATAGCTTTCAAATTGTATTTGATTTTTAACTTGGACTACTAAACCTTGATAATGATTATTTATTCATTATTTATAATCTGAGCTATCAAATGAAACGATAATAACCATTTCCTTTAAGATCCAATCATATTAATCACAGTTAGATTAAAACGTTAAATATGAGCCAGTGCTAATGTACCAAGTTTATTTACTAATTTTACTTTAATTATGTAGATAGTTCTTTAAATACTTCCAAGAATTTCATTATTTAATTGCGTTTTAAACATTTCTTATTCAAAAACAAATAATATTTGTTTGTTTACACATTTTTTTTAACTAGCTGACAACACACCAACACAGAAAATGCTCTTACATGAGTTTCATTTGATTTTCAATACAAAGATTCAAGATTAAATCCTATAGTAACTATCCCATTGTAGGTGACTATTATTTGCCATGTTCATCCAGACAGTTTATCTTTTCCCATGTAGCGGCCTATTACTCTGTTTGATGGAATATCTTTTCTCAATGTTTGATAGAATATCGTTTCCCTATAGTTTTGATGTGGTATATGCAAGGAAGTCTGCTTGTAATTTCAGACACAGACAGACGTCTGAACTACTTCATGGTTACCTTTTCTCAATGACCCCCCATCTAAAAGGATGATTATTAAAAATTTGCCATCTCACAAACATTGTTACCGATGGGTTCTCTCTCATACAATGGGATCGCATCTGTTTTTGTTCATAAATAATAAATAGGAGTTATGAATAAATTGTTATTTAGTTACTTACAAAAGAACATCACAAGTGGCCTATTAATATAAGTGATTGGTGACAACTTTTTCCATTAAAACGAAACAAAAAATAATAAAAGAATAAATATTTATTCTGTTTACATAATTAATAACCATGATTTTGACTTTTCAGTCTTCACCTCTGCATCAGGTAGCTATAAATCTCTACGTACACACATTATCAAAAATCAGAATAAAAAAAGGTGCCTATGATCTTAAGCTCAAATTAATGTATTAAATAAATAAAAAGCTTTTATTTCCACAAGTTTACAATTTTAAATATTAAGTTAGAAGCATTTGTCTTCACTCTTGTGGCACCTCTGTATGGGCAAAAGCCTCCTCCATTCCGCTCCATGTCTTCCTGTCCTGGGCTAGGTCGAGCCAATTTTCTCCCGCTACTCTCATTATATCATCAGCCCACCTTTCCTTGGGTCTCCCAACATTCCTCTTCCCCTTCGGTCCCTTCCATTCTGTTGATGTTATAGTCCATCTTCTATCTTTGTACCTTGCTAGGTGTCCAGCCCACTGCCATTTTAGTTTTAAAGCTTTTTGGAGGGCATCTGTTAGTTTTGTTTGTTGTCTAATTTTGTTGTTTCTGATTTTTTGAATTTTTCTTATTTTCAGAATGCTCCTCTCCATCGCATGTTGACATGATTCTATTTTTGCTCTATTTTTGGTCTGGTCAAATTAAGGTATTAAAACATTTAAATTCATTAAAATCCACTCAATAGTTTACAGATAAACAAAGAAACAGACATCATTCTAAATAGGTACTGTATTTTGGACGTTTCTGGTATAGTGGCAACCTTCACTGATTGTGTTACAGTAGAACAGATGGTGAACTGTAGGTCCTCCTGGCTATAAAAGAGTTATAGTGGTGGCGAGAGGTGGAATTATCCCGATACTGGTTATGGTATCCCAACATACAATGTAGGTGTGTAATTAGGTTACTACTCTGAAAACAAAGTAAAAAAACATTACCACACTAATGACATCACAATCTTTGAATTAACAATGGAAGATCTCTTGTAATCAACTAAGTCATTACCAAGAGGCTGCATGACATAATCAAGTACCTATGCAATTACAATAACAGAATTACAGGTAACTGCAGTAAAACAAAGTTAATTCCGAAAGTACACGTATAGGTATTAAATTCTACTGTGCTCCTTCCTTAATTACAAAATCCTGGGTAAATAATAGCAGTTGACGAATTGTTGTTGAAAACTTGACCAATTTCCATCAACATTTATCTTATGGGGCTAGATAAAACGTAGCATTCCTCATGTATTGTAAGGGTTTATCAATAGTTTTAAATACAGATTTGTAACAAAAATACGGCAAGTACAGTCTTAGTAGAGAAATCACGGGACTTTTCCCACCGCTGCGAACTGTGTGTAACCAGGATAGACTACAGCTTGACCACCAATAGGAATGAAAAAATCGCGAAAGATTTTGTCAAAGCGATCGCAATGGGCAGAAGAATATTACTCCTACTTTATAGGAATATTATAGTAATTAAAGTTAGTTAATTCGTGAACTACAGATCTCACACTTTAGGATGAATGAGTTCCTCATTCACACTAACATAGCGGTAAAAAACTTCCGCTCCTAATTACCAACTAAATCAGTATTCAGTTCTGAGCTAGCAAATCAATCAATGAAGCATGATGATTTATTTATAAAAAGGCTCTTTCTTTTCAGTAAATCTTTTTGGTCGTAGGTACCTACTTACGCTTTAATTCTATGCATACCTACGTGATCAAGGTACATACTATAATCTTTATTTTCACGGTAATTAAAGTTTTGTTTACTATTCAATATTCATTATGAATAGCATAGAAGTTGACATGAACTATGGGGGCAAATGTTTGTTTTCCCAAGTCCATGGGATCATTAGTAAACGTGAAAAACGTTTGAAAAAAAGCAATAAATGTGTAAGTATAGGTTTTCGGCTTGATTAATTGGTTTCCTCAAGTAATTCTTGGTGTTCACTGTTCAGAATAACACTGACATTGAGTCTGAACTTGAAACATGAAAGAAAACCTCCGACAGCTGGGAATTTTCATCAGCAAATAATAACAATTGTCATGCAATATTATTGTATGCATTTTTATCTTACCATAGATAGTTATTATTGCAGTAGACGAAGATTTTTTTACGCTGTTAGTCCAGTCAAATTAGACATGAACCCTGCAATAATTCGCATACAGCTGAAAATTGGTACGAATGTTCGGAGCACCATTATGAATTAACTGTGAAAAGTCCCCATCGATCCGACGTGTGCTAAAAAAAAAATTCAAGGTCAACCTTAAAAAATACGGGTTTTTGAGATTTTCAGCCAAACGGTAAGTTTTATCACAAAAATATGTATGACAAGGTTTAAGACCATACAATTATCTATCAAAATTGTCTATACACTTTCTCCTAAGAGTCAGCGTTTCTGAGATTCGATGATCCGAAGAGTCAAAAAAGTGTTTTCTTCATAACGGTCTTACACATAAATCCAATGTGATATCGCCTCGTGCCACGACTCAGCATTGTATCATGATGTGTTGTCGACGTCGAATATAAAATGATTAACCTCAATGTCATTTGTCATCTTTAATTGTCGAAAAATGTTTGCAACTTAGACGAAGGACTGCACCGTGAGTTTCTAAGATACGAAGTTTTCGTGTCTATTATGTTTAAGAGCTCTTATATGCACACGTCACTACTCTACTTGTAACTCTATGGTCACTCTTTTAGCCCGGTCAAGTCAGAAAATCCGGGTTATAATAATTCGCATAGAGCTCAAAATTTGTGTGATTGTTGAGAACACCATCCTTAATGAAATGTCAAAAGTCCCCAGCGATCCGTCATTTGAAAAAAAAATTCACGAAGTCCAAGTTTTTTGCATTTTTCCGCCAAACAGTAAACTTATCATAAGAAATGATAAGAAATAGTAGTAGATCATAAAATTATCTATTAAAATTGTCTTAGCCCCTTTTTCCTAAGAGTCACCGTTTATGTGGTAACGATGCAAAAAGTTAGAGAATTCGCATTCTGTTAACTACTCCAAAAGTCCACAACTTCAACTCTATTAAAATAGTTTTGAATTGAACAGGATAACAAATACATCTTAAAAAAGGCCTACTGGGGAAACCTGGTAAAAAAAATACGCCAAATAACCCTCATAGGTGTTGTGGAAACATGTGCATATAACGAGAACATCAAAACTAACTTTTTGAATCGTTCTACCTCATAATCGGTGACTCTTAGGAAAAAGGGGCTAAGACAATTTTAATAGATAATTTTATGATCTACTATTTTTTTTTATCTATTTTTATGATAAATTTACTACTTGGCCAAAAAATGCAAA